AAAAAAAGTTTTTTTTGAAAAAATATATATGAATCTCGAAGATCTTTGCCAACACACAAAGGAATATTTTTAGCGAGAACATTCAGAGTTCTTCGAAGGTCTCACAAGAAAATGTTGTAAAATATATTATAAAAAACATATTTATCAAGTGATAATTATTGTAATTATTAATAATATAAATAAATTTATTAACAATATTATTTATTTAATCACTTGTAAAATAACACAAATCATTTTAAGGGACCATAGTTTTGAAAATTTGGAATACCATGTTTTCAGTTTTTGGCAAAAACTCACTGGATACAATCAATACAAATGCAATTACTATTAAAATTATAGTCTAAAAAAATTTGCAAAAAATCTGGGAGTGCTTTAAAAATCTTTATGTCTGTCCTAGAGGGAAAAATCAAAGTGTGATCATACACATTCTCAAAAAGTCATATAAAAAAGAAATACCTTTGAGAAACAAGTTTCATTCACTATCACAATATGTCAAACGATTCTAAATCCATGTAAAGAAAATATTTTAATTAATAAAATGTCAATTAAAAGCAAAATAGAAAAAAATAAGGCAAGTTTTAAAAATCTTCAAAGTATTATAGAGTTATTTGTTTACTAATAAAATATTATAGAAAAAAATTAAAAAGAAAATCGAATTTATGGAAGGTAATTCAAGCGATGAAGATCAAAAAATATATAAATAGGAAGATATTGAATTTCAAAGTACTCTGGAGAAAGTAGAAAATGATAAAAATGATTTGGGATTGCAACTGAAAAATGTAGGAATAGAAAGGTCTACTTTGGCAATGAGTGATATAAATGTAAATAACTAATAAAAATATATAAAAAAGTAATTTTCAATAAATAAATTTTTAAAAATAAATATTTTATTAATAGTGTAAAATTATTTTATTACAATTTAAAACATTCAAAATTCTCCAGAGTTCTATATATAAATCTTCACTCCAGAAACTTCTAACAATGATGGAGCACCTCCAGAATTTTACACTCAAAAATCTTTAAAGATCTTTGCCAAAAAATATCCTGATGTCAGTACCTAGGAGTCTTGCTAAGTTTTCATTTCTTTCAATTAATATTTGATTGATTTCATTGTTATTGAGCTCAGACTTAGAAAATATAGCTCTTGACATTTCTGTGCTAATTTGAATCATCCAAATTGCTTCAAGGTTTAAACTGAGATATTTGTGTCATTTAATATAAAAATTTTTTTCCTGATATAGTAAATATTGTTATCAATTTTGATACCATCCCAACATAAACTATAATCTTCTTTTAACAGGATAATAATCTTTAATCTTTTTTTCACAGATAACTGTTTTGAAAACATAGGTTGATACAAAAAATGTCAAAAATTGCAAAACAATAGATTTATTCACTATATATATGCCATGATCAAGATTAATGATCGACGATCAGGTGTTGACGGACGCTGTACATGTATGTCGTGGGTATACATAATTAGACATCAGATTTTTGCGTAATCAGGATTTCTTTTCCTCATAAAAATACCACAGTTTCACAAAAAAACAATATACAGTATAAGTCGCTATGCCTATCAATTTGTCAAAGGAAATACGACCACGAATGCTTTTTCTGTTAAAGTATACAGGGACGAACCTATTAGTGAACTAAAGAAAGCTATTAAGGTGAAAAGGCATAAACTTTTCATAGTGTAGAAGCTGATGAACTCAAGTTATGGAAAGTGTAAATACCTGACGATCATGAAGATCTCTTAAGCAATCTCACTCAATGATGGAGACGAACTCCTTGCAACCCGAGATGTAGAAGATTACTGGTCACCCAAGAGACATGTTCACTTCATTGCCAAATCACCCACATCAATTACCATTTTGAACCGTGAGCAGGAATTGCTTGACCGAATCACGTCGTTGGAGGCATCGATTGTCAAGTCTGTTCATGTTATGTATACGTATAGGCACTATATGACTGTGAAGCAAAAATTTCTTTGCATTTTTCCGAAATATCAAGTCTTTCAAATTTCTTGTTAAAAGTGATCGGCGGAATAATTTGGATTTTTTTTACCAACACAGCTGTTATGTTACAGAATTCGAAGTTGTTAGCCCGAAACGAATGAAGAGATTCAAATGAACCGTAAATATCGAACACGCAACCCTAGAAGGCTTCAAAAAATCAATTCATGCGATATACCAGACACAAGCAATTGAAATGTTGGAGCAGTGTTCAACACGATAGCAGAAAATACTCACGTCGAAACGAAGACCTTTGTAAAATACTCCAGCTACTCGTCAAAAAACACTTCAAGTTCACCGTGTTCATAGAAACCCCTTCGAAGCCATTTAACGAACGGACATTTCCGAACTCTATGGACTTAGTGATGACCCAAATCCAAACATTGATGTATACTCCATTTTTTTTTGTACACTAAGGAAGAGAAGAATAAGGAAGTATTATGTAATGTAAATTCTTTGACGAATTGGAAACACGCGTTGCAACGACTCCCATCGAAATATCATATGAGGCCACAAAAAGCATCTATTCATACACTTATCTCGCCTCTGCAACTTATCCATTTAAAGATCTGATGAAAATTGTACCAGAAAAGTTAATTGAGGGTAAAAATAGACGGGGAAATCTTGATTATGGAATTGAATCACGCACAACCAGGAGAATAATCTAGCGTGGCTAAAACCTACCAATTTTGCAATGTCTTCAATCAATTTTTCGGGTGCAGTACTTCTCTTATTCTGGTATGTAATACAAGTCAACTCGTCCAAGAAATCCAAGCACGTGACACCGAGTTTAATGAGAGTCTTACAGGGTCAAAGTATCTTCATAATACTTCAATTGCAAAGACTCAGTGAAATCGAACAAGTCTTTCAAACATACCATAATAATTTTGGTAGAGTCGCAACCGAATTCGAATCAATCAATAGATCCATTGCAACTCTTCAAACCGAAGTTAATCGACATTACGCGGTTGTCCAGGACAAAATGAAATTTCTCCCGAAATAAGAATTGAACTTATCGAGGAAGCAGAACAATCCGAAGCTTCTGATTCGAGCCAGCAAATATCTTTGGATGTGACTTCAGAAATCTGGATCAATGATTTAAGAAGTAGTAACTTAGATAAAATAGGTTCTTGGATCGATAGCAAAGCATGTCATATTCTCTGCACTTTATCGAACGCAAAATGAAATAATATATCAAATTAATTTAAGCAAATAAAAAGATGTCCAACTTATCTGATATTGATTTTTTTTTTTACTCGAGTTTTGCTGAAAAAGCCAAACGTCCACCGCCAATTGGGTCGCACATGGAACGTTTGGAGGAAGTGAACTCAGTTTGCCACCGCCAATTGGGTCTGTACGTGACAAACTGACCTTTTCATCAGGCAATCAATAAGAAAGGATTCCCTTAATGACAAATCAGCTCACCGCCAATTGGGTCTGTACATGAGAGATTTGGGCAAAGTTCACATTCCCAGTTTGCCACCGCCAATTGGGTCTGTACATGGCAAACTGTCATTTTCAATTCATGTTCTCGAAGACTTGGCACGAAAATTGAAAAGTATACATACAGACGCGTACGAGATTAAGTTTTTGTTGATCACGTTTTTGTGAAACCATACAATATAAAAATAAAAATTCATAGTTGAAGCTGGTTTCTGGAGTTTTATCAGTGGGAATTATACCAGATGGTCCGAATTTCTTCACCTACCTTGCTTTGATCAAATTCAATATTTAATTATCAATTTTATACATTATTTTTTCTTAGGTATTAGTAAATAATTTGTTAAATAAATATGGATCTAAGAAGAGATAATACATTAGATGAAATACAATTAATAATAAAAATATTTCAAGTACTATCAGATATTGATCAAATACTGAGAAAAGTAAATAGTAGTGAAGGATTTTCAAACTTTACTGTCAATTAGTAGAGAAATGTCGACTGGATCATTAAAAATAAGACATTATGAGAGACGTGTTTGACCGATTTTTTACAACTCGTCAAATTGGATAACGAACCATAGATTATTATCACGTCTCAATCTTATTGTCATAGAAAGAATCTTTAAAGATGATGAGGTAATTATAATAAAGAGACGCTTATTTGTCACCTTGATTGCGTTACTTATAGAATTCTTTGTAAATCAGCCTCCTGAAACTAAGGTGCTTATGGAAGACCTTCGAACACCAGGTGAACAAGCATATACTGACTTAAAAAATTGTCCCAATAATTAAAACTTTTTTGTTTATAGGATATATTTTTTGATTGATTAATTTAAAAAAACTAAAA